CCCTCAGAGGGCACTGCCTTCACTGAGGCTGTTCTCTCTCCCTCTCTTTCAAGAATGGGTTGGCCACACTGGCGCCCTAGCCAAGCGTTGGCTTTCAGTGGAGCTGTCTGGGGTGGCTGCTGTTTGGAAAGTGAAACTGTCGCAGGCACCAAAGGAGTTCCTCTTCCCCCAGCCAAGTCTGCATCCCAACCACCTGGACTTTTTGGCCTCGTGTCCTTCCCTCCCTCCCACCTACCCCACTCTCTAGTGGGACTGTGCAGCTGTCCTTAGCTTGGCAAGGGGGCCAAAATAGCCAACCTGTTCTTGTGGAAGCAAACTAGACTTGGAGAGGGAGAGAGAACAGCCTCCCAGCCAAGATCCCAACCACCTGGACTTTTTGGCCTCGTGTCCTTCCCTCCCTCCCACCTACCCCACTCTCTAGTGGGACTGTGCAGCTGTCCTTAGCTTGGCAAGGGGGCCAAAATAGAATAGCTGTTCTTGTGGAAGCAAACTAGACTTGGAGAGGGAGAGAGAACAGCCTCAGCGAAGGCAAAGTGACACTCAGCCACCCTTCTCCTTCCAAGGGGGCGGCTCGGCACTCCCATCTCTGTTTCAGGCTTGCCACCTGCACATCCACTGCGAGGGCCAGTGCTCGCCTGGGGCCAGGGTTTGCATGGTTATCCTTCTCTATTTTCCTTGCCCTTTTCTTGCCACTCATCATGGCGTTTGGCACAAACCTGCCCTTGGGTCACCTATATACCTGGGGTTGCATAAAAATGTCTCACGCAAAAAAGGGTTGCGAGTAGAAAAAGTTTAAGAAGCCTTGTTCTAGATTAGCCTTGGGACATTTGAAGGCAAGCCACAGAATTAAAACAATTATTCACATACCATCTTATAAGATTTGTTATGCGACCTACACAATCCTGATTCAGCCTATATTTCTCTCATATTGTGTTTGTGGCCGTTTTCCCCCCCCCCAAAAGGCTGAGATCTACATCCTAATGTCTCCAAAACCACTGCCTTGCCCGATAGAAACTTTCTGTCTAAACTCTCTCAGAGTTGACTGTTGTGTTAGTGAAAGGAAAGGATGTCTATACTTAAAAACTTACTACAGGAGTAGTGAAGTGTGGAAGCAGGGCTTTCCTCTGTTGTGGAATTCTGTAGTTCTGGTACAGCAGCATCCCATACTAAAATTTGGGTTGGAGGGAGATAGGGAAGGAGAGAGAGAAATGCACAGTTGCTTATTTTGTTCCAAATGCTGTTATACAGTCGTGTATGTTACTGTATTGTTCCCCTCTGTTTTCTACTACAGTGGTGCCTTGACTTACAAAATTAATCCATATTGGAATGGTGGCCGCATCTTGAAATTTTTGTAAGTCGAATCACCGTTTCCCACAGGAATGCACTGAAAACCATTTAATCCATTCCGGCTGGTTTTTGTTCTTATGTAGAGACGCCGTTCTTAAGTCAAAGCATTAGTTCCCATAGGAATTAATGCAAAGCTGGTTAATCCATACTTTACCACTAGGGGGAGATTTTTTCTTCTTTTGACCTAAGATGAACTTATGTCAAAAAAGGGTAGGAAAGGAGGGAGGGGGGAGGGAACACCTTTAAAAACAAGCACCTTTTAAA